GGGGGAGGTAGGGACCATGGTGGTTCCCTAAAATTAAGGTGGGGCTAGCATAGACCAATGGGGGTATCTTAGTGTGAAGGAGCCACCCCAGTTTGTATGTTACATTCCAGACTCCTGATTCGTCACGAAAAGTAATCTTCCCAGATAGCCTGTATTCATGGTTTAGACGACTTAATGTTATTAAAACCTCCATACTACCCAAAGCTGTCTACAGTTTCAGTACAGTTCCTATCAAAATTCTAATGGCATTCTTCACAAAAGAAAAATAATTGTAAAATCCACATGGAACCACAAATGACTGAAACAGCAAAAGCAATCCTGAGCTAGAAGAACAAGGCTGGAGGCGTCACACTTCCCGATTTCAAACTCCTTGATCCTTGAACAACGTGGGTTTGAATTGCATGGGCCCACTTATATGCAGATTTTTTACAGTACAATACTGTAGATGTATTTTCTCTTCCATACAATTTGCTTAATAACATTTTCTTTCTAGGGGTGCCTGGCTGGCTCAGTCGGTTAAGCGTCCAACTTCGACTCAGGTCATGGTCTCGCAGTTCATGAGTTCGAGCCCTGCATTGGGCTCTGTGCTAACAGCTCAGAGCCTGAAGCCTGGTTTGGATCCTGTCTCCCTCTCTCTGTCCCTCACCTGCGCGCGCGCACGCACACTCTCTCTCTCTCTCTCTCTCAAAAGTAAATAAACATTAAAAGAATTTAAAAAGTAATTACATTTTCTAACTTTCTTTATTGTAAGAATACATTAAATAATGCACATAACATATAGTACATGTTAACCAACTATTTATGTTCTCAGTGATGCTTCTGGTCAACAGTAGCTACTAGTAGTTAAATTTTCAGGGAGTTAAAAGTTACGTGCCAATTGTTCACTGCACAGGGTCAACACCCCTAACTCCTATGTAGTTCAGGGGTCAGCTGTATGTTACAAAGCAGTAGTCATCAAAATAGTATGGTATTGGCATAAAAAAGATACATAAATGGAACAGACTAGAAAGCCCAGAAATAAATCCGATTAAGAAGAGATATTGGATCTCTTTCTAAAATTAATTTTATCAATGTAATATATGGCTGAGTGTCCATAAAGGCAGGAAACATAGTGTAAACTTATTTTTAAGCAGTATGTTAACATTTTCATATAATATGTTCCACATATATTTCAGTCTCCAGATATCTTATTAGGTGAAGTACCTCTAAATCGAAAGCAAAGGGTCTAGTTGGTAAAATGAAAAAAAGGATAATAAATATATTGATTTGCTTTGTAGTTTTTACACTTTTGTATTCTTGTATAGTTTTGTGCAGACTGGCAGTTGGACTCATTGTTTTCAGTTAGAGTTATGCTTCACTTGAAACCATGTCAAGCATGTCACTAAAAAATGTAACTAACATATTATTTTTTAAACTTTGAAACTAAGTATGCATATAGTCTAAAAAGTCAAATATAATAGTAAAAGGCTTATTACAGTGGATCTTCTCTCTAGTAATCCCACTCTCCCACTTGAGACTCTCTAACCCCAGAGGAAGTTGTTTTCAAATTTCTGTGTATTTTGGCATTTACTCATGTCTACATGTATAGATAATATATAAACAGCTATCCTTCAAGTCATCAAGTTTTAGTTATTACCTATTGGCCCCCTGTCATGAAAAATGAGGGCTTAGTGCTCATGTGTGTGATTAGTGTGAGATCACACACGCTTTAGTGTATGATTTCCCTCTTTGCTTCTACTCCCTTATCCTTGCAATGCACTTAGAGTACAATTTTTGGATATATTACTGTTTGGTATTTACATTATTATATCCTATCAATTATTTGCAGCTAAGCATAGTAATGCAGTATGATTCTTTCTGATGGGCTTTTTGTTTTTCCCAAAGTTAACACTTGCTTTGTTTTTACATTTGCTTTATTATTTTTGTGGATGTTGCAGTGCTGTGCTCGCTCATAAGTGTTTGGCAGCCCCCCGCCCCCACACACACACAAAGCCCCGGTTTGTATTGTTTGCATTTCTTTGTGTTGTATTCGAGTTTTCATTTCAAATGACCAGTGTGAGGTCACTGAACAAGTTGCTGAGAAAAGATGTACACAGTTGGTTTTCCTATACCATTGAGCTGTTACTAAAGTTCTCATACCTGCTAACGGCCCACCTTCGGGTTTTGAAGTTAAGTTTTTCTCTTCTGTTACATTTTTTAAAAAATTCCGTTTTGTAAAAGGACTTATTTGCTCTGAATCTCTTCTTTTGAACTTTGAGTGTTTTAAGAGGCCTTGAGGGCTTTTCTCTGCGTACACTTCTACTTACAGAAGGCAGAGATTTCAGAGCTCTGGCCAGAGAAGATGAGGCGGAAGTTACACAATCTCGTGGTGGCATTTTGCTAGAGGAGGGACAAGGCTATTGGCGAATAAGAGTTAGGGTGAAGCTGTGGCTGTCTGCGAGGCTGACAGAGTTCTTTCTGAGGCTGGTTGCTTGAGCTGCTGGTCAGCTGGGGCCCTGCTCCACTTCCCTAACTGGCATGACTACATATGTTTGGCGCTTCAGCAATGCCTGGCACCATGTATGCCAAGCAAGGGCTGGGATGGCAGATTTTGGCCCGCCGCTTGCAGGACTTGTTCATGGAATTTAAAGGCGGCCTCCTCTGAAAGCTGGGGCCTCGACCTCATCTCCAGGCCCTGCCCCTGCACACCAGGGAGGTATCTGAGTTAGGTCAGAGTTCTGATTTCCTGCAGAAACTGATGAGTGAGCCATTCCCATTGGCATCTCTGAGTTACGCAGGGCACCGCGGCGACAACTGGTGTTGGAATCCTCTGTGGCAGTGCCGGCTTTTACTTGACATGCCATGGCCCAAGCGTGGGCTGGAAGCATGCACCACCGTGCCTCATGCAGCTGGTGCTGCTCTGAGCTTAGCAGCATTTGAAGGTCCTTCTCGGGGGTCCTATCAACTTGCCCGCCAAACGGCTTTTCCTTCTCGTGCATTAGATTCATTCAGAGGCAAGATCATGCAGCCTTCCATTCTGCGATATGTCTTATTAAAAGGCTTTACAATTCTGGTTCATTGATGGTCTGCCTTTCTCCCCAGCTCCCCCAATGTTCAGGGCTGAAAAAGACTTTTTTCTTGTCCCTTTAAAAGTTTCCTTGTTCGAGGGCACCCGGGTGGCTCAGTCGGGTGGGCGTCCGACTCTGGATTTTGGCTCAGGTCATAATCTTGCAGTTTGTGGGACTGAGCCCCACGTCGGGCTCTGTGCTGTTGGCATGGAGCCTGTTTGGTATTCTTTCTCTTCCTCTCTCTGTCTGCCCTTTCCCTGCTTGCATGCTCGCTCTCTCTCTCTCTCTCTCTCAAAATAAATAAATAAACACTCAAAAATAATAAAAGTTTCCTTGTTCGTTTCAATGGGAATTGGGCAGGGGTGTCAAATGACTCGACTTAAATCACTGTTTGAACCAGA